AACTTACCATAAAACATGCTAACTCCACAACTATGCCCCTACTGTAATTAATTAATTATTGAATCAATATTATTGAGTTAAAACTTTAATTTGCATGCCAATTATAACAGATATTGATCTATTTAATAAATATCCGTTAATCGTTGATTTTTAACAATGTTATAATAAAACTTTATGTTGCAATCCATATAATTTTATTTATTCATATTTTTTTTTTTTTTTTTTTTTTAGTAATCTGCTTTAATTTATCTATTGGGATGAATATATTTTTTATAAGAAAGTATCTCAGAGTTCAGAAAAAACTTTCCTATTTTATATTTATTTTAATGAAATAATATTTACTACAAAAAAATTATTATTATAAATTAGAAAGAGTTTACCCTAACAGGAAAGAAAGGTTATTAAATTTAAATACAGAAATTTAACTAACTATACATAATTATTTTGATTAAGAACAGATAATTTTTTTTCTCTTACACCGTGATCCTTTGCACGACGCATATATATTTTTTAGTTATACATACATGCGAATTCTCGTATTATTAGTATAAATGGTTAATTTACATTTTAGTTAAGAAATTGCTTTTTTTGTGAGTGTAAAATATAAAAAATAGTCATAAGAAAGTAACTAAAACAAAACTTTAAATTAAAAGCTATATAAGAAATAGTAATTAATAGATTTAAAGTACTGTGCATTAACAAAAAAATCAATAATAAATAAATATATATATAAACGTTTAAGTAAACCATATTAATAAATATAAATGTAATATTGCATTTAATATTAAATGCATATTACAATTAAATATTAATATTTAATATGAGCTGTCCATAAGAGTATAAAATATCGGTTTGTATTGATAAAACCTAATAATCTAGATATTTTAGGATACCAATGATGAAAGTAGAGTAATATCAAAATTGCACTGCCTTTCTTAATTATCTAATTTTTATTTAACAACAACGATAAAAAGGTCAAATTAACTTAAATTACTACGTAAATGTAAACATAACTCTTTTATTGTATTTATTTTTAAAATGTATTTTTATATAAATAAAAAGGACATGAAATTATAAAATAAATATAAGCCAAAGGGTTTTAATTATCTTTTCTTTTGATTGCAAAATTTTATTATTTCTAATTATTGTATTTTATCAAATAATACTTTAATTGTGCAATAGACTTTTTGATACTGATGGGAATTGTGATATTGCTAAATACTATAATTTAAATAATTTCATAATTTTTCAACACCTACCTCGTATTAAGTGAACTTATTTTTTAAAATTAATATAAAGATACGAAAAATAAATAAATATTTATTTTTGATCAATAAATAAATATGTTATCCATAGAATTTAAATAATTTTAATAAATATTTGCATTGTAATTATATTTATTATATAAAGATTAAATAAATTTATGAAATATATAAAGCTTTTATATTTATAAACCTTTGTAAATACAATTTAATAATCTTCATAAATATTTCAAATTCAAGATGTTAACAAAAACAATTTTAATAAACATAATTGTTCTGGTCGTGTCTCTGAAAATACCAAAATCAGCAGTCGATTTTCAAATTTTAATTAATTTATTTTTTGATTAACAGTTTTGGTCAGTTCACTAGATTTTTGTTTTATAAAATAATTAAATAATAAATTAAATTAAATGTATTACAAAAAATAAATAAATTCTATACATCTAAAATCGAGGTTAATTATTATTTGGTAATATTATTTTAATTATTTTAAATTAATCACAATCGTTCATCATTTAATTATTTCGGTCAATTAAATCTAACCAGAGACGACTACTTGAGTATGTTTGACATTCCGGAAGGTGAATTCTTCTACATAGTAACTATTTTAATTAATTAATTTGAATCAGTAATAACTACAAAACTGTTAATTTAATATGTAATTACATATGGCTAACTTACCGGAGGATAAACAGTTGCCTACAACAACTATTGTTACCACCCGTTTTCGATTACATAGCGGCCTTGGGTAGCGACAGGCAGCCTGCAGCTTGCTGATTAACTATATGCACTCCGGCCTCATTATGCGGCCTACAACAATAGAGCCGGAGTAATGGCATTGTTTGTTAGGCATCTGTCCACATCACCTGGCCCCACGGTGCTCCTTAGGTAATGAGCTATCTAGATCGCCAGATTGTTTTACACTATAATGGGGGGGAGGTATGTACAGCTATCGGGTATCGATCGGCTTATCGATTCTCTACCAGCTTACTACAGCTAAATTACGATAGGATCGGTTATCTTAACTCATTTGTTTACATCGCATATATTAGCCCGCGGTATAGAGCCCTACTTATTAAATTGTTAACATTTGTCTAAAATATCGTGAATTACTTCATATAATCGTAAGCTACAACATATTTATTTTTAAAGTAAAGTCGGAAATGGGACGTTTTCAATTTTGAAACCAGTAGACTTTGTATATTTTATGAGGAACAAAAAAAACATGACACACTCACCTGCTTTATACGTAAAGCTTATGACAATTTTAGGTGCTAAATATTCGGGACGCAGTCTTTTTAAAGATTTTTATTTGTGCCGACGTTTCAACCCAAACATGTGGCTTATCTTCAGGACTGGAAATAAAAAATAAAAAAATTCAGCCCTGAAGATGACACACGGGTTGAAACGTTGGCATAAATAAACAAAAATAAAAAGACTGCGTCCTGAATATTTAGCACCTAAAATTGTAATATGTAGAACAGTCGACTAACTTCCTTATGACAATTTGTTCACATAATCAATGAAAAAGTTCACAAAAATATGAGGCCATTTGGGGTGACCACCTAAAGATGTTAAAATAAACAGTTAATAAAAGTCAAACGGCACATTACTTTTATAGACAACTTTCTTTCAATTTTTTAGATACAAGTTAATTTATTAATTACATATTAGTTATATTAATATTAAATTAAATAATTAATTTTATTGAGAAAATGTCTCATTTCCGAGAACTTTCGTAGATAAAATGTTTTAGGTTACAATAAGATGAAACCATTCACAATTTTTTTGACGGTTGGTAATAATTTGATGAAAAGGGATCTTTACAGTGGACTATATCTTTGGAGGTCTGTAAAAATGGCTAATTTATCAAACTGATTATTTTACAATGTTCACATCGACTGACAACAACAGGTAACGATATGTAAGAAAGTTTCATCTGTACAGATATCCCGCAATGTAGCGGTAGCGAAAACAGTTTCACTTTCCAATATATTTTGCAAAAAGGGCGTATGAAAACTCTCAACCATTTAGAACTTATCAGGTCATGAGTAATTGTTTGGAACTTTTGTTTATCGTTGTATGTATGCAAATAAAAATATTAAACAGATGCAACTTAGAAAAAACATAAGAAAAAATAAATATCCCGTTCATTAAGATTCAAAGATTAATTTTATGATATTATTTATAGTATTTATCTTTTTTTTATTGTACCGAAAATTTGGTCCCCACAGCATGAAATCGGCACTTAAAACCATTTTGATTGGCCACTACTGGTTTCGAACATATTACAATGCAAATTGTTAGATGAAGTAAAAATAAATTGACAAAAAGCAGTATCTTTCTTTAATAGTAAAAGGTAGTAAAGAGGTTATACAGTATTTCGTTGATTTAAAATTTAATATACAAATATATGTATATATTTATATTTGAACTATAGTTAATGGTTTTATTAAAATTTGAAATTCTTGCTCGTCAAAACTATTATTGGAGCAATTAAATATTATTTTTGAAATATTATTTTATTTTTTAATTCAAAATAACAAACTATATCTCTATTTTCTTTTATATGTCGCATTTAATGACAGTTTAAAAAACCTTACATCGAATGAGATGTTTGTATATAAATAACTTTTTTTTAACTTGTTTGATCTTACGTTCTGTCTCAATTAAAGACATTTATAGTAGAGATCAAAGAGCAGATTAATACCTTATTACGGAAAACATAAATAAATTAATTAAGTAATAGAAATATAATATATGCAAATAAGAATATAATAGAATATAAAATAGTATAAAGAGATAAAAAAGTTAAAATAATAAAATTTAAAAATATATAAATTAAAAAAAAATATTCTTTTTTTTGTCATTGAATTTTCCATAACGAGGTGTAGTTATTATTATATACAAATGCAATTCTGTCTCTCTCTCTCTCTCTCTCTATATATATATATATATATATATATATATATATATATATATATATATATATATATATATAGATAGATAGATATATAGATATAGATAGATATAGATGATAGATAGTATAGATAGATATATGAGTGCAGAAATTTTCCTCTTTTATTTTCATAGGCAGGGCAATAATTATTATATGCTGGAAGGTTTCTTTTTGGTTATATTTATCACACTTAGCAGATTTTTGGACTCCACAACGCTTTAGATATACTTTCCATAATCATTCATTTCATTCAAAAAAAATCTAGGCTTACTTAAAATTCGCGGTATATTACGGTATATAAACCACATCTATGAAAGATAGCTGACAATGGTAGACCTGTTTGTCTAACATATTTTCTTTAATCATCACAAAAATAATCTGTGTACGGCAGTTTTATGTCTATCTCATCATTAATTGTCACTTTTTAATTGTTTATTGCTTTGAAGTATTCTTTGATTATGTCATGTAAAATGTTATTTTTATCTATATTGCTATTTTTTCAGAAAATGTACATAAAAACGAAAATAAACATCTCAGACACAGGCAAACATGTATATTAATAACAAATAGAAAATATGGGAACATTGCCAATAAAATACATACTACAACATTTCGTGGTTTACACTGTGTCGCTAAGAATATTTTAGTTATAAATAATAGCAGAGGATAGTGGATTGCCAGGGGACTGAGCAACCCTCCATGCAGAACCCCTTCTCATCTGCATAGGACCACAAATCATAGCGGCTCCCTACCCGGCCCAACAAACCCGCTTAGTTAGCCTACATTATGTATATGGAGTGCAGGGCATTTTGCATAGTGTCATACCCTACCTGTACCCGGTCCGGTACCCTGGGTATCTCGTTACACCCTTCGGTACCTGGCGCATCCCGTAACCCGAGAACCGTGCGTCTGAAGAGTCCTACCAAGATAATCATGAATACGATTATCATTGGACCTTAACGAAGCAGTAGCTACCTGAATGCGGTAGTCAACTGATGTTGGATAAGCCGTTGTGCTATTTGTATATATATATATATATATATATATATATATATATATATATATGATATCCATGGCATGTTTATAAATATATGATCGAAACTAACACATTTTGCACGAAATTGGTCAATTGGTAACTAAATTCAAACTAGGGGCTATATAAACATCAGAATTAGGGATTAATGAAACCCCTCTTTTCAGGAATTAGGTCAGAATGCTGGATTTAATTGAGAATAAATGATCTTGATGAACATAAATATAGGAGGAGGAATAGAGCTTTCGCTCCTCGAAAAAAAAAGAAATAAATATAAATTATTGTATTCATATTGTTTTTCATGAATGATCCGATCCAAATAATTAAACAATCACAAAATGTTCTTTTTAAAATTATAATGCGTTTAATAGAAGGATGACTTTGAACAAACGACTGAAAATATTATACTCCCTTTTTCCCTAATCAAAATTGAAAATGAGACAAAAAATAAATACGAACACTTACCTACTCAAACCCTTATGGACATACGCCTCACAAATTTACGGTTCTTCAAAAAAGACGCGCAAACTACAACCATTTCAATCCAAAATTTTAAGACTAATAACAGCAGCTGGTAGGTAAACAACAAAAATTTACATACTGACTTACAGCAACCAGCTATCGACCAACACATACGTACTCTCTACTCCCGATTTCATCTTAAACTACTCGGACATCACAACGGACTTATCAACGACATGGCCACAGCTGACATGCCCATCAGGAGACGACTAAAGAGGAGCTGGATGAGAGATCTCCTTTCCTAAATTATGAAGTAGACCAAGACCAGGAAAAGGTACTGCTGGGTACAAATCTTCCTCATGCCTTAAATGCCAACTTTCTTTACAGTGAGATCACATCTGCTTATTGTCAATACTATGACAGGTGTGGATAGAAGTATGGAGAGAGAAAGATAATGCATTAAATAATTTAATATACTTCAACCAATTAATTATTGCCCCTTTGTAGCCCTATAATAATAATAATATTTTTTTATTCTGGGACGAGTCCCTTTAGAATAATAAATAAGGACAGAAATGTGGGCTTTTTAGCCCCTCAGAAGATATATAAATTTATTTATAAATTAAATAAATAGATATAACAGAAAAAAATTTTATTATTATTTTCTAACTTAAATCGATTAAGAAAAAAAATGTAAGAAACGTGAAATAAAAAAACTAATAATATATATACTTCTTTTATGGAATATCTATTTACAGTTTATTAATCAGCAGTCTTAAACTTAAATTTTGGAGTTAGAAATATTAGCAATCATACCAATAAATAACTTTGTGCTGGAAACACTAAAAATAATAAATAACTTAATAAAGCATATAAAAATATTAAAGAAAGAAAAAATTAATAAGACATGAATGGGTTTATTGTGTGGAATTACAGAGTAATAGAGAAATTTATAGACACTAACTTGTCATTATTACGACTGTCGAGCCCTAAACGGGGGTACATTGCCTCCTCTAGTGCCTATAAAGGACCTATAAAGTTTTTTTTCAGATGTTATTTAACTTTATTGTAGTTCGGCGATACAGTTTAAGGCTTCTCATAAGAGTTTTATTCCGGTCTGTTTTTTATTATTTCTTTTTTCTTGTATGTCACCTTAATGGCTGTTCACGTTTGTAACCGGAATTTATCAGTTTATTTATTACGTACATACCTGCTTTTATATTGTTCATGAGTGATAAAACTTGTTAAGCATTTTATTAAGTTGAATAAAACTTATACAAGATTCTTTCCAGCTCAGATACTTTAACAGGTTTTAATTATTTATTCGACATTTTGAAAATCTTAGATATGCAGCCTTGATGTAGGCTTAAACTAAAGCCACCACGTAAAATAAAACGTAAACGCCGGTACAGAAAATAAAATATTTTTTTTCTGTTTTTCACGTTTGTATTCTATACTCCCAATACACGTTTGCTCAAGTATCCTGTCTAATGTCAAAAATATCTGCATTAATAAAATGTCATTTTTGATTTCTTAGAGAATAATTAGCTTTGCTGAAATAAACGTTCAGCAGCATCGAGCATACTATTTATTAATGTTAGACAACCATTGACATCTTCATGATTTTGAATCACGTATTTTATCTTTGTTTGTAAAATTAAAATAAATATGGATAACCTTTAAACAATCAATTTTCATTAATTCAGTTATTGAATTAGCAGAGTTCCTATGCTACTTTATATTAAAGTATTCTTTAGTACTAATTATAATGACTCATAACAATCTTATACACTCATAACACCGAAATCCTTACTCATCACCCAATCCTTTGGCCCAATCGAAATGTCGCTTCAGCGACTTTCTATACCAGTGACGCAGCTGAGAGAAACGTTTTGATCTCCTTGAGTCCTGCTTTTCCCCCAAATGTTGGACGATGACAAGGGTTTGTATTCTTCAGGCTAAGTGTACATGGTCTTCTTAAGTGCGACTATGTCTGATTATAAAATAAATATATTAATATTTTAATACATCATTAATGAAATATATAAATATTATATTTTAAACTTCTTCATTTTTTTATTAATTAATGAATTTTCGTCTTTAGATATTGTATAATTGTTTACTTAAATAAATATAATTTATTGCCGTTAAACAAGGCAGATTATTATACTTGATTGTACTTAAAAGTAGTTTATCTCAATAATAAAACCTAAGGAACCTGAGGTTCGACCCCAATAGCTAATTTTTAAAGATTCCCTCCAACACAAAGAACACCGCAAATGGCATTTTTTTTAAACACAATCCCTTTTACTACGTTTAAGTTTCTAATCTATTAGGCGAAACTCGTTGTTGGGGCAGCAGCTGAAGGAAATTAGTACATTTTTAGGTATCGTCACATTTAATAATCCAAGGCCTTCGTTTACAAGAAGATTCGGACTCGAAGCGAGGGATATTCGAACTGAAATATCGAGGGTGGCGCGTGATACGAGTGAGCTGTGAGCAATATTCATGTTATTCAAGCATAATTTTTTTTAAATTTATTTTAATCACTGTTTATGACAAATATATTTTATTTTTTAATTACAATATTTTTAGTATTTTTCTAATTAAATTATTTAACATTAAAAATATTTTCGCAATTAACACCCGGCAATTTAAATGCCGTTCTAAGTACATATGCCTCTGATTCTATTTTTTATCCAACCTGATGAACGGAAAGTATTAAAAAAAAAAAAAAAAAAAAGGTCACTGATTAGCCGTTCTCGATCCATGATTATGAATAATCCAATCGAAGAATAATGCTATAATATCCATTAATGTTTTATGGCTTGGTTCCAAAAAGTAATGTTTATTTAAGTTATCCAACATGAGTTATCCAACTTAATTTACATAAACTTCTTGCACACTATTGTTGCCCAGGGGCCCTAAGACGGTAAGTGGGTCGGCGGATGCTGTGCCGCAACCGAGGGGTGTTTTTTGCCGCTGTTTTTTGCCCGCTGTGATTGTGCCGCCCTTAGGAGGGTAGGAAGGGGTTAAGGACCTGGCCGCAGGTGGCATCTCATCCCTTTACATAATTTATCCCATCAGAGGGCTGGCTGAGTCCTCAGCAACCTAGGCTCAGTTTTGGTACATCCAGCACATGCTGAAAAAGTATTTATATTATCATAGCTTGATCAGTTGAGCTTATAACTTATCTATAAAAATATAAAATCGGATTTCGTTAAGAGGTTTTTAAAAAATAATTTCCAATTCAGTATATATCAGTAATATGCCCGTTAAACAGATAAATACGACTGGCTTGATATTTTTCTGGCAAGGGAGACTTAACGTTTCGTTTTCTGATTCTCAAGATCCAAATTACGGCAAAAAAATATATTAATATTCTAGACATTTTTTCTTTGTCTTTATGGGAACATATAAGTTTCATCTGTTAATTAAATTTATTAAATTCACGTGCTAATTATTTTTAGCTACTAAATAGTAATTATTATCTTTTAAATCTCTTGTGGATTATCAGTTGTCCGATTACTAGACATTCTACTGTACTAGAGAATCTTGAAATAGTATTAATAAAATCCTGTGGGGCCTTTTTAATGAAAGAAGATGCATTTTTATGACTTTTTACTTTTTAATTTACCTCTGACCTTGCTATTTCTGGTATACGGTGGAGGAAGAGGTTGTTTCAAAGATATAACCAATCAGTTCTAACTAGAATGGGAAGAACGAGATTCATTCCGGAGGCTTCCATGAAATAAATTTCATCCCGCCCAGGATTCAAACCGGCACCGCTGGAATCGAGAATGTTTAATCACATTTTAAGAATGACGGTTATACTAGTAGGTGATCCAGTTTGTAGTAGGCTAATCCTCTGAAGGATCGAGTACTCCCTTCTGTAGGTAAGACATGTCCAAGAAGCTTCATTCGAATCCACAGACCAGGAATCAGCGGGGTGCTCATCTCCCCAAGGTTAATGACGCATTATCTTTCCCCCACTCCTTCCAAAATATTTTATTGTTCTCCTCTTCTTAAAAACAGTGCAAGCGAATGTAGAATTAAAAAAAATATTATAGATTATATATAATAATTACAAATACTGCAGACTGTTCCATGCTTTCCCTCGTCTTCTGGTTGGAAACATTTAATTTCGAATATTCATAATCCTCTCGGAACGTGCTCCGCTCAAAAATTCAAAATCCACTCAAAAGGTGTCCACCCTCAAAAATATTGATGACGTAACTTGCGGCATGAAACATCCTTCTGAGCACCTGTGCCACAGACAATCTTTCATAGTAGCATATATAATAACTTTTCTAGGCTTGAATCTAGGCTTATAGATTTAGGATCTCAATGTATTATCCACGAAACTAAGATACACCAAATAGGATATAATTCTATATAATTTGTGATTACGCTAAAGGCCAATGATGATTATATGTTGTCGCTTTGTTAATTTAAATGTTTAAAGGTTATAATCAGAAAATTTCCAACCACGGATCCTTGTGTTTCTAAAATGAAGCTTAAAGAATGAAATAACCTTTCAACTTTTCGCCAATTCAGGCATCATTACGACAGAAAAGAAAACAAAGCCAAGATCACATCTAGTCTTGCCCAAAATCGGTCTTGGTCTTTCACTTTGCAAGACCAAGACCAAGGCCGTCTAACTTTTGCAAGACCAAGACCAGTACTGGTAAAACAATCGATTTTTTGAATAAAAATTAAGGCAAAATAGTTACTATTACTTGACAATATTAGTTACTATACGTAAAGTATTGGTATAACCAATATACTTTTGCATTTAACTCCTCTAATTTTTCATTCGGACTTAGTCATGCTTTTCTTATCTAAAAAATTACAGTAATATCTCTCTAGTAATAAGCTAATAGATAACTGCAAGACTGTTAAAAGAGTCTTGCACAAGACCAAGACCATGACCAAGACTGATTTTGCAAGACCAAGACTCGTCTCGGTCTCGTATTTGGGCAACACTAATCACATCACTCCATGGTATCCGATCCCATGCTGAAAGAAAGATGAGAAAGGTTTCAACACTGCTGAGGAAGGTTATAGTCAAAGAGCTGATCAGAAAAAAAATATATATGTTTAAGTTATTAGAGCCAAGCAAAATAACATAACAATAACAAATAGAAATATGAAAAAAAAGGTATGAAAATAAACATCAATGGAAGGTTACCATTCAAAAACAGCTTATTACCCAACATTAAAAAATAAAATTAAGCTAGATTTTAGAGGCCTATAATTTATCTAACTTCTGTGCAATATACATCGCCTCAAATACATTTATTTTAGAATTCTTCTTCTGTTTCTTTAATATTCGAACATGATCGAAGACAAATGCATGTTTAAATACTTTAGAGTGATGAGCTAATGTGGTGCTAATATTCTTGTTCTTTTCAGAGAAACAATGCTGTGTGATTGGAAATTCTCGAATTATCACATAACAACAATTTTCTGTTCCTTGGAGAATTTTTACTATTTTACATTTAAATGTTATATTTAAGCAAAACTTAATGTGATTTTCCATCGAAATAAATGTCATCAGAATCCAATATAGGAAAAAGCGAAAAGGAGAAAGGTTGAACGCCCTTAAGGTAGGTGCTTGTAAGACGCCTGGTGAAGAGGCGGGTATAACTGTGGCACATAAACAGGGACGTCCTTTATTAAATTCTCCCCCGGGTCCCGGGATTAGGGGAGAGATATGGAATCCACTCCAGGACCTTACCATTCCTTTTTATGGAGCTTCATACTGTTTATGGATTTATAGGATCCCTCTTCCCCCACATATTATAGTGAAAATATAATCCTTTGACTAGGGAAGAAATTCAATTATCTACCCCTTCCCGCGTTCTATGGCAGTATTTTTGAGATTTACTTCATATCTATCTGCCGACGCGGTTTGAGGAAAAGGAGGGGGAGATGAAAAATAGAATAGAATATAAATTTCATGAATATATAATAATGACATATTATAATATACATTTATTAGGAGTGTCTTGGAAATTCGAAAGCTTCTTATTGCAAATCATATTCATTTAGCAGATGACCACAAAATTAATCGGAAACGTAATTCAACTCTATTATTGATACAATATACGTTGCACTGATAATACAATCGTTCATCATTTTTTATTTTATCAAAAACCTGTTAATGAACATCAATTATTTCCAACAAAACTTTTTCTCCAAATATAATCATGAGTAGATACAAAGGTAATATTACTTTTTAATATCTCAAAAAAAACTTAAATTCAATTTTTTAAAGCATTCGAAAATATTAGTTTTTTTATCGGAATTTAGTGGACTACCACAAAATGTATGATAATTTTAACACCACTCCACCAATAACTATCATTACGGATTAGAGCTCTATATCGCTACTGTAAGTGCAAAACACCTTTTGTTTTGTGTAAAAATTTAGGTTTTTTTTATAGAATAGCAATAAAACTGACTATTTCTTTATGATTTATTAGTATAATTTTATATTTCATTTCCCACTGCTATTTTCCTATTTAGTAGACTACTCATAGCTAGTGTTGTCCAAATGCCAGACCGAGACGAGTCTTGGTCTTGCTAATTCCGTCTTGGTCTAGGTCTTGGTCTTGCGCAACAGTCTTGCAGTTACCTATTAGCTTATTAATGGAGAGATATTACTGTAATTTTTTAGATAGGAGAAACCTGACTGTCCGAATGAAAAATTAGAAGAGTTAAATGCAAAAGTATATTGGTTACAACAATTCTTTACATATAGTAACTAAAATTGTCAAGTATTAGTAACTATTTTGCCTCAATTTTTATTCAAAAAATCGATATTTTTTTGCCAGTCTTGGTCTTGGTCTTGCAACAGACAGGCGGCTTTGGTCTTGGTCTTGCAAAGTGAAAGACAAAGACCGATTTTGGGCAACACTACTCATTGCAGTTGGAGACTACAAAATGTCCCCTGTAGCGCAAAAAGAATAAACGTCTAAAATTGGTACATACGATTTTTTTTTACTAAACTGATCTCCGGAAACAAATTAGAACAAAGATATAAAATAAAAACATTTGGAAGTATTTCTTAATTTATAGGGTAAAAAGAAATGAAATTCAAAATTCATTGATGTGGTGTGGGAGTAATTCAGCTTACCAACGTTGTACTAACGTTAAATTTGGAGAAAATCCTGCATAGTTATGAATACTATAGTTAACAGCCTGAAAAAATAAACTTTAAGAAAATGAAGTTCTAAAATTTGCAATTTTCGATTTATATAAAAGTTTAAACCAAGTGTTTAGTTTTGCATCTAATTTGCTTTTTTATAACTAAAAGTTACTTAGACTACTTTACTGACAGCGCCTTTTGGTTTTGTAATTTATGATACACTATAATTCATTCAATAACGTGGGTAAACAAAAAAACATCCAGAGGTTAAACCTAAAAGTCCGGGCAAAGCAAAAACAAAAATAAATAATAAATATTTCATTTGAAATTGTATATTATTTTTTTCGGCTCCTATGGCCCGTTGTAAGTAACGCCGAAACATTTTCCTATATTTTTCGATGATGTATAACGAAAACATAAAGTTGATGACCCACTGACCAAGAACTCCCCTTGTTAGAACAAGAATTTTACGACACAAAACTAATTGTAAAAGTATCGTTAGCGCAATCTAATCATTCTTCTAATCGTAGATTTTATTTCCACGATTCCTGAATATTAAATAATGCCAGAATTATGAGGATAATCGAGGTAGTAAGGCGGATGTTTGACTTATAGGGCTCACAAGATAGTAGTGCCAAGATTGATGGTTATTCCCGAATAATAATTTTATCCTACTAGGGCTAAGAAGAAAGATAGGCCTGGTGGAAATAATACGGGGCCTATAAGTACAGAGGAATGGGAGGGAGGGGGAGAAGGGAGAAGTCAAGATGATGAAACCACCCCCGCAGCCCTTCCAGGGCGCACGAGGAATAAACATATCCAGTTCCTTTATGTACATCCGGCCTAATGGCATCGGCCCTTATTGGAGATCTGTCCTACAAACCCTTACAGCCACCCTATATTA